ATTTTCTTTTGATTAACGGTTGTTGAAATATTAGATATTTAAATATAAAACGTATTGCTAGTGACCATATATGGTAGTCCTAATGGAAATTTCCAACATTTTTTTTAGCATCTTAGAAAAGTTGCTAAGCCAAATAAATCGGCAGAAAGAATATCGATCCAATTGCATGTGGGGACTTTAACTTTTTAACTTTATTGTAATGATAGTGACTCTGTAAACCTTCTTAGTATGTATGGAATGTATAGGACAATTTATTAGCCTACACGAGGTGATAATTTACTGGACAACATATTCACCTCATTAGAAAATAATTATATAGCCTCTGTGGTTAATAAACATGTTAGTGATCACCTAGCTCAAGTTTTAGCAAATTTCCCTATAGGGAAGTAGCTATTACCATAGGTGGCAGGGTAAGACCTAGGCCCGGGACCGATTTACTTTTTCATTTTGATGTCCCCAGAGGCCAAAAACACCATTCAAATTTGTATAGGCTATATGTACGGGGTGTCCCACGAAGGGGTTTAAACGTTTGATTTTATATTACATGCCCATTCATGCATCAAACTTTTTTAAACTTTACACAGTTTAAGAAGTATGATATAAAAATATTCTGGAAAAATTTCAACTCCCTAACCTTAGTAGAAACAAAATGGCGGCATATTGAAAAACGATGCTTTAAAAGCATTAAAGAAGGTATTTTTGGTTTTATAAAATATTTTTCTTGTTACTTTCCAGGGCAATATGACTTAAATAAAAAAACTAGAACATAGCCTAATGGAAAACCTTAATGTCCAAAATTATTCAAACTGTAACCCATCCACAGCAACACACTGATAACAGCGCGTAACAAATTATTCGTAAGCTCTTACAAAGAAACCCTGCGGTATCCGGAGAAGTTCCTCTTCTATTGATCGTTTTAGTTCCTCATCATTATTGAAGCTATGGGTATAAACTTGTTCCTTCAAGAAACCCCATAAAAAGATGTCGCAAACGGTTAAATCAGATGATCGGGGTGGCCAATCTAAAAAATCATTTCCGCGACCAATTCAACGGCCATGAAGGTTGCCATTTAGTAATTGCTTGACAGGATTTGCGAAATTTTTCCAGAATATTTTTAGAACCTACTTTGTAAACTGTGTAAAGTTTAAAAAAGTTTGGTGCATGAATGGGCACGTAATATAAAATAAAACGTTTAAACCCCTTCCACCCTATATATATATATATAATTATATTTGTGTTCGTTAGCTCAATAACTCAAGCAAAAATGCTCCGATTTTGATGAAATTTGGTACAAACGTGTAAACCTACATTTATTGAAACGAGATCGTGAACCAGCATGATCTGACTATGGGAAGGGGGTTTATGGGGTAAAAATAGGTTTTCCCCATTTTTTCCCTAAAAACACAAAATTTCACAATTTCTTACAGAACCATTTTGTAGAGCTTAAAAAGCAAATAATTTAGTATATTGAAGCGTTATTATGTGCCTAATGGTTACGAATAAAATTCCAAAAAATTGTAAATTTAAAATTCTTACAGTGTTAGCAAAAACGGGAGTGCCGATGGAGGCCAGGTCAAGTCCCTTCACACACACGCATCCCCACAGGTTTCCATCGGCACTCCCGTTTTGCTAACACTGTATGTTATTCTTATGGCGAATATGTCAACTGTTGTAGTTTGCTTGTTTATGAACATATTTTGATCAAATTTAGAAAATACATTCATTTCTTACTAAACTACAGTATTAACATTTTACAACAACAAACACTTTTTTACCCTCCCTGTTGCAGCAAACCTAAGTACTCGTTAAACTAATTATATTTAAATAGGGAATAAATGTGATTTTTTAAAGGAGACACATTAGTGTAAATCCAATCGGAAATTCGCTAAGTCTGTAGGTTTGCTGTGGCGGGGGTATCTTTTTATATACAGCTGTTTTTTGTTTATAAATTTGTTCAATGTAATTCTTATGGTGAAAACCCGACCTTTGAAATGGTCTCACGCCCTTAAGGGTAAGCACTTTTAAATTCTAAAACCATAATGCAAAAACTACGAATTGAGCCGAATCTTTTAACACAAATCGTTGAAACTGTTCCACAAATAAGGGAGGAGTAGTGTTCACAAAAAACAGCCCTCACGTATTAATATAAGAGATAATAGTGAGGTTTTAACTGTCTGTAAAACGATTATAAGACAAATTAAATATTTCATATTGATAACCCCGCTTCCGGTAGCTCAAACAGTTTTGTCGAAACAGCTGTGTTGGTTGTTGTGCTACTCGACAACCTACTTATTCTTTTAAATAAACTTAAAGATGTATTTTCTTATAAACATGTTTTCCGTCAAGAAAAGTCTAAGTATGTAGCTAAGTGAAATAAAGTCAGTGACTCTAGTGTACGGCCATTTAGGATGTCAAAAACATAGTTTATTCTTCGAAATTTTTATCCCATCTGAATGAACCAGAAATGCAATCTCCATTGTAAACAAGATGTTGCAAGTGTGGGCTGAACTAGATAATCTTCTGGACGTCTATCGCTGGCCAAATATCGATATCGATGTGAAATGTTTTGATATGATGCAAAACACCGTCGACTTCCCAAATTAATCGAACAAACGATGACGTCACGACCTACTAACAGCAACAGCAATGTGAAAATCTGCCCACCCACAGGGTGGGGGGTTCTAAGACTTAGACAGGGAAGGGACTAGGGAGGGAGAGATATCCTGATTAGTTTGAAATATGTAGGCGAACTGATGAACGATAAAATAGCTTGTTGAAAGATTTAAACTATAACCTTGATATGAAATCTTTAAGATGTTACTAAAACATTTTCAATTACATGCATACTTCGACGCTCTTGGCTCTGTATTTAGTGTTGCCTTGGTTGATTCATATTGGTTTTATTTATGGTTGAGTCTTCAGCACTAATGATGACGTCATAATGGCACCTGAAAAATCTCCCGTGTGCCGCATCGCTGAACGCAGACCTCCACTCCCACAGCCGGTGTTAACGTAAACACGTGTTTTACAGTTGAGTGAAGACGAATAAGATGGTTTTAATACGCACATACATACATATATATATAAACCTTACAGTGGCATTGATCAAATATGCTGCACACAATCAATAAACGACTAATTTAATTCATTTATATCCACGGTAATCTTTTACCTTCGATGTCTTCACCACAATCCGTAGATGAAAGAACTACTCGGTATAAGTATCCTTGAGGCAGTCCCATAAATGACGAAGCTGTAGGCAAATCTATTGGCCTATATGGTTAATGCGGACGTGCAAGAACAAAAAGGGCACAATTTTTCTCCTAAGCCCATCACATGAAAATTTAAGCTATTCTATAGTAATTGGCAATGTGTAGAATACTCGGTATAAGTATCATTGAGGCAGTATCATAAATTACGAAGCTGTAGGCATATCAATATGGTTAATGAACACCCACGACAGGAAAAGTACACAATTTTTCTCCAAAACCCATCATATCAAATCTTGAGCTATTAATGGTAATCGGTAATGTTTTGAATACTCATCATAGAGGCAGTCATATAAATTACGAAAGTATGGCCGGTGCAAAACACGGGAGATTTTTCAGGTGCCGTTATGACGCCACTAACTGCGTTACCGGTCCACGCTGACACCGACGGTGGGCAGATTTTCACATTGCTGCGTAGCTTAGCAGGTCGTATAGCAGGTCGTTGTAACGTCATCGTAGATTCGATCGATTCGGGAAGTCGATGTTGTTTTGCAACATAGTCACTTCGATATTTTCTATCGATTTGATCCTTTATCTGTTATCATCGTTTCTATGAATCTGATAGTCACAGTAGAACAGCCTTGGTCTTTTTCGTATCTCTACATAATGTACGCCCTGTTACAGAACGGGTACTAATACACTATAAACAAAAAACACGCATTTAAGTCACAAACATGGTGGAGGTAATGACGGATTCAAGATGGGTATGGTATGAGACTATGAGAATGAGAGAGAGAAGAGCCGGCACACGGTCAGCTCAGGGAAGTGGGAAGTGGCGTGATCGGGTTTGTTCCACCAATAGGATTTATTAGACAGAGTTACGTCATATCGTATGATTTACTACAGTTCGTATATGTTCCGTTGAAAGAGTACTACAACATAGTTGACATAGAGTAATAAAACATAAAATAAAACATGAATAATTAGGACGCATATGATACATACATAAATAATGTATGATACATATATAAATATAAAATTATAAATGGTTGGGATCCTATCCTACATAGCCATTCTATATGGTTCGCTTGTGTGGTGGCCAAAGAAGGAATCTACTGCAGCTGTCAAAGCTTTAGCAGGAGTTCAGAGGCTTGCTCTTATAATGATAACTGGGGCAGTAAGTAGCTGTCCTGGAGCAGCTCTAGATTGTCTGCTTGATATGCTACCTATCGACATTTACATCAAGGTGGTAGCAAGAAAAACAGTCTAACGCCTTAGATGTGAAAATTTATTGATAACCACAGGAAACAATAAAGGCCACTCCAAAATTGTTCAGGTGGTACACAATGATGAATTGGACCTGCCTTCAGATCACATGTCCAAAAAATACTCCTTTGGAAAGCCTTTCAAAGTACTAATACCAGATAGGAAGGATTGGTCTGGAAAAGGACCCATACCCTCAGGTGATTTAGAATGCTATGTTGCAAAACAACATCGACTTCCCGAATCGAACGAATCTACGATGACGTTTCGACCTACTTAGCTTAGGTAACAGTAATGTGAAAATCTGCCCACCATCGCTGTGTCGGTGATAGCGTGGACTGGTGACGCAAGCAGTTAGTGACGTCTAAACGGCACCTGAAAAATCTCCCGTGTGCCGCACCGTGCTTTCAGTGCGTTGTTATGTACAATTGTTTACATGTTACCACCACAACCACTACCACTACCAGAGAAGACCTGTCCTGTCACCGTGTCACCTGTCTATTTGTGTTACTTACTAAGGAAATGAATTAGGATTGAGAAGTACATTTGACATAAAATCGATCGATAAGTTCTGTTCAAGAATTAAACATGTTTAGAATAAAAAGTAACAATATTTATAGGAACCCTCTTACTAATTTTCGGGCTTTATCGACGTCGCAGGTAAATCTAGTTCTGACTGTTGATATAGGTTAGGTTTAGGAACCAGGACTTGTTTAAAGTAATAATATTTGTTTTGTTTTTCCATATTTTTTGTGTTTTTTAATGTTATGCGTTAAGGTTTTGGGACTGATTTAAAATACCTGCTGTATAATATAATTTGGATTAAGTTACTTAAACAGCAGCACACTTTTAACATATGTTTGGAAATTTGGTTTATTGCAACCAATTGTCTTACAGGCCTATACTTTCAAAATGTTCTACACTACATTGGTTGAATGCCTTTATTTATTAATCACTGTTGCGTGTACGTTGCAGCTGATTGGTCTTTTGACAAATCTCAGCAGTTGAGCTAAGCTAAGTTTTAATAGTAGGATCAAGACGTGGAGGGGATAGATTTCTTGGTACGGTATTTATTGCGACCAACATGACCGTGGGAACCTATATAGATTTAGGCTAGGATTATACTAGGACGCTGGCGTCCGGGACGCTAGTGGGGCATTAAATGGAATGGGGGTGATTATACTAGGGATGCCAGCGCCGGATGCTAAAAAAGCCACTGGACGCTTGATTTTGTGCCTCCCAGCTGGGAGGCTGAAATTTGAGCGCCCGGTGACTTTTTGCCTCCCGGGATGCACAAAATCGGTTGTGGGGCATTGGTTCAAATGTGGCGCATTATACTAGGTGGCTTGCATCCGAGACGCTCTCTTTCGACAAGTGCGTGAATATAGGGAATAAGCTGTTACCATAGGTCTCATGGTAAGACCTGGTCCCGGGAGCAATCTACGTTTTCAATTTGATGTCCCCAGAGGTGGCTATTAAGGTGAAGGGCGGGATGTGTTTGTGAGTTAACGAACCAGCATGAACGGACCTTGGGAACGGGGTTTTACGGGTTAAAAAAGGGGTTTTGTTATTTTTGACCCGCAAAACACAAAATTGCCCAATTTCTCTCTAGACAATTTTAATGAGCTAAAAAACAAATAATTTAGTATATTAAAGTGTTTTTGTACAGTTATTAGTTAAGGAGAAAATTCAAAAAAGTGTAAATTAAAAATTCCCATGTTATTCTTATAGAAAATATTGTTAACTGTTGGAATTCGCTTGTGTATGGATATATTTTGATAAAACTTGGCCATTTTGTTTTTTACTGAGCTATTAATGTTTTACTAAAAACAATCTTTATAAGCCTCCTTTAAAGCAGCAAACCTGCAACTCGTTAAACCTAATGTTATTTAAATAGATATAAACAAAAGTGACAAAACATTGAAATAAAATGGCAGTCCGAGAGGCTAGCATCCCAACACAAATCACGTAATTTTCGGCTTGAAGTGGGACGCTAGCCTCTTGGACGCCAGCGTCCTAGTATAATCGTAGCCTTATATATCACCAGAATTTAGATTTTTAGCTGAATATAACGGTGCAAAAATTTTTCCACGCCCTCAAATATTAACGGAGTTACGGCTGTTTTAAGTTTTATTTACTTTGTTTTATTAAATAACTTCTTTATCAGCATTGTACGTGTTAAAAAATTTACGGAAAGTAAATGAAAGATACGTCTTACAACACTTAAAACATATATTTATGCTTATACTGTTACTCACAAGCACAGAAAACATACTACTATAACCCAGAATGCCAACCGCATGGTAAAAAGCATTAAGTGTTTTGAGAGCTTTGCCTGTCAATCGTAGGCAGCGCCACCAGCGTTGCTATGCTGAGTGCATGGCAACGCTGGTGACGCTGCCTACGATTGACAGGCAAAGCTCTCTCAAAACACTTAATGCTTTTTACCATGCGGTTGGCATTCTGGGTTATAGTAATATGTTTTCTGTGTCACAAGACGGTAAATATACAAAAAAATGGTAAGTGGTGATCATTTTCTATTGGACACTCCAATCATCATAAGACTCTGATTGACAATGAACATGTCAATCAGATTGTAAAATTGCTTGTGACTGTTTGAAACAAAATTATTTTAGATTTAACAATAGATTTGATAAACAAACAGATAGTTTAGCTATGGGAAGTCCACTTTCGGCAATTTTGTCAGAAATATTTTTACAACATCAGGAAAAAGAAATGTTAAAGAATTTAAAAAAGAATCATGATGTAAAACTGTATGTTAGGCCTAGATATGTTAGGCTAGAAGACATTCTTGTTATCTTCAGTCAATCCCAGGAGCAAGAGCACGAAATGATGATGCAGACAGTTAACAGCTACTATCCGAACCTCACCTTTACCAACGAGTTTGAAGAAAACCAAAAGATCAACTTCCTGGACCTCACAGAGGAAAGACAACAAGATTGAGTTTGACATCTACAGAAAACCTACGCAAACGGACACTACAATCAACAGCAAGTCTATCCATCCGACAATTCACAAGACCGCAGCATTTAGATCCATGCTGTACCGAGCATATAAGATCCCACTTAGCCAAGCCAATAGGAAGAAAGAACTGGACACCATTAAGAAGATCACACAAGTTAATGGATTTCAAACCAAGACAATAGAGGACATCGCAAGAAAGATTAGCAGAAAAACCAATAGCCAGAATAAACTACACAGCAGAACAACATTAGAAGAGATAAAAGAGGAAAACATCAGATATGTCACATTACCTACACGGTGACTACAACACAAAGGACTGCTAACAGATTCAAGAAATACGGAGTTTCAATAGCCTACAGGACTCAGAACACCATGAGTAAAATACTACATCCAAAAATTTAAGATTGTAACAAATTCGACTCTTCGGGCATCTATTGGATCAATTGTAACGATTGTGACAGCTTCTACATTGGACAGACTGTGAACTTCGTCAACCGCTTCAAAAACCACATCTGCATGGAGGAACAACAAACCGGAAAGATCAAATGTCGCACACCTGTTACAAAATGGACACTCAATGGGAAAAATGGAGGATAATCTATGTATTTTGGAAAATTGTAAGAAAGGATATGTAATGAATGCTTTGGAAGAGTTGTATATTTATAAGGAAAAATGTAAAGATAGAAATAAGCTGATTAATAAACAAGTAAATCGACTCCAGTTGTACTTATAAAAATGTATTGGCCAGTGCTTCCGGTAGCCAATAGGATATAAGTAGGGACGCCATTCAAGATTCTTGTCATTAAAACCAACCTGAGCAATTTTGAACTCCGAGGCCAGCTCCACTCTTACAACGTTAGAGGAGCACAGAAGCTGAATACCCAGCGAAACAGACTATCCCTGACAAGAGATAGCTTCCCCGCAGTTGCTGTACATATGTTTAATGCGCTGCCACTCCACCTGAGAGAGCTAGAGCCTAAAATATTCAAGGAAAGGATCAAGGAGCTCCTCCTACAAAACCCGTTCTACTCATTTGACGAGTATTTTGAGGAAGCACCAACTTTCTCTTGACCGCCCACCGCCATCTAAAGCTTAATTTGTAAATACATGTTTTATTAAAGAAAGTTTTATTTTAAAATGTTTGACGCTGTCTATCCCGCCCTGGATGGTCAAAGACAAAGAGGAGGTAATAAGGTATATGAAAGTTTTGCCACAAGAAGTATATTCTCGGAGCTCGATACATGTTAGATGATTAGGCCTATTATTCTAGTTTAGTGCACTTTATAAGGGTAAGATACAAGCTATTCCTGATGAAAGTTAGGACGTTGATGGCGATGTATTCACCCCAGTGTACACACAGATTAAAATGGACTCATAATTTCAGAACGGAAACCTGGTCTAGTAAAATTCTTGTCAATTTTTCACAAGAATTCTTAAACAAAAATGTCATGGTTTTAGACCATAACCATGCTGTAGGCCTATAATTTCTAGCTTCCTATTATAGTATAACTTACTCATTAAGTTACTTTTGCTATAACCATGCTGACTAAGGTAATCTATATTTTTGCAGGCACTCTTAGCCAAGCTTCGATTGGCCCTCATTGGTCAGAGCACTTTTGCAGCAGAAGTTTACAAGCTTGTGAGGGCTCGTGGTCACCAAGTAGTTGGAGTATTTACCATCCCAGATAAAGCTTCCCGTGAAGACCCACTTGGTAATTTAGTTTTAATGAGTCATAGTCCTTAGTCAATGTATGTTCATTAGTTGAGTATATTTTGAAATGTTAACCATTAGACTGTTTTTAATTCTATCTGATTTCTTTGCAAAATATCTTATTCTCACTTGTTCGGGGTTTTTAAATTTATATGCTTGATGATAAAAGATCACCCCTAAATTATAATTAAGCTTATTTTAGTTATTCTTGTAGGTACTGTAAACTGAACTAAACCTTGAATTAGTTAAACCAGTTTTGCCTTTTTGATTTGTGGTTAGTGGCCTCTTTTTATTAGTCTACACCCCTCCTTGTTTTATACTCAAGTGTAAGCAGCATCCATATTGACAATATTAGATTTAGATTAGTTTGTCGTAACAATGTGTTACCTATTATACCAGTTTTTTTATGTGTTCAGCATTGTCTGGACACTATGATTGGTCATAGTGTAAAAGCTTGATTAGTGGTACTTATCAGCAGGTTAAGGGTTGATCCTGAGACTAGTCAGTAGCTTTTAGATGGTTTGATATTGATATGGACCCATCTATTCTTGATCATTGGACTTTTTTAAATGGTCCTAACTAAAGAAACAAGTGATCTAAGTCAGTGACAAAGCTAAAAAAGGCATTTCATACATTCCAAACTCATTTTTTATTTACATTTAAGGGCCGGTTTCCGAGCTCCAGATCTAAAGGTTCTGGACTTATTGAGTCGAGGCCTCAAATAAGCTCTCAGATCTAAATTGTCTTGCTGAGTCGCGGATCTGGACCTATGTGAGTGGAAGTCAATTAAACTCATGTTTTCACCCCCATATTCCCCTAAATCTAATGGACTAGCTGAGCGTTCCGTTCAAACATTTAAAATTATATTGTTAATTTTATCTTTGTCAAAGAAGTCGTAATCTGCCACCAGAACAAATGTTACTAGATTATCTCTATGCTTATCGTTCCACTCCATCCTCTGTAACAGGTAAATCTCCTATGGCAATATGCTACTTACTTTTGTACCTGAAACCCCTTTGTCTACTTTAAAAAGAAAAGTTTCAACTTTGTATCGAATCAGTCAAAATGAAAGAATCTGTCTAAAAGTAAAGACAAGCAAAAGAAAAGAATTCCAAACTACCATCCTGATCAATTTGTATGGGTAAATTTGAATAAGAAAACAAATTTTGGTGTAAAGTTTGTGGTAGGTCAAGTGACCAAGAAAATTAGCCAGACTGTTTATGTGGTAAGAGTGTTATCTGACAAAAGTCCATGTAAACCAGCTTAGAGAATATTATATTCCAAAACCTCATTGACCTAATCCTGATAAACTTCACACCAAAACACCGTCACCTAGACATGTGCCTAGTCCTAGTCCACCCAGACCATCTCCTGTTAACAATAACCAATCCACGTCCATCTCCACCCGTTCCCCAACCTTCACCTACGAATCCCCTTCAGCAGACTAGTAGTAGAGGAAGAAAATCAAGCCGACTTAAAGATTTACATTTTCCAAATTTGATTGATGATATCGAACTGTCTTTTTTGTCTTAGAAGCTGTTTACTGTTTTGTTGTCTGTATTTTTAAGAATTATAAACAAAGTAATTATTTAATTTATCATGTAACTTGAATTTGTTTATGTTTTAATTATTGTATATATTATCAACTGAACTAAAACATGGGAAGGTAGTGATGTATCATAGGTATACCCCCACCAGGTAACCGATAGCCGAACTCAGTTAGTTAGCCATTCCAGTCTGGGCAGTCTCAATGTTAAGGATGTATGTCTCTGGTGTCACTTAATGAAGTTTTTTTGTCCAATTACAAATATGAGTTTAATTACAATGAACCTACATTATAGTCTACCTCCAAGAACACATGAGTAAATAGTATAAATACTGATTTGACACAGCTCTTACTAGAAGACCAACAATTTAGTGAATACACAATTTCAAATAGCGATTTAGATATATATTTTTGATTTACAATTATTTGGTGATTTGTGTTGTAATAATGACAATTTATTTCTATGTTACAGCAACTGTAGCCAGCAAGGATAATACACCTGTGTTCAAAGTAAAAGCGTGGCGTAAGGGAGACCAAGCTCTAAAAGAGATTATAGACCAATACATGCAAGTTGGAGCTGAGCTAAATGTGCTTCCTTTCTGTTCTCAATTTATACCAATGGAAGTCATTAACCATCCTAAACATAAAAGTATTTGTTATCATCCTTCTATTTTGCCCAAGCATAGAGGTGTGAGTGCAATCAACTGGTAAGTTAGGTTTACCAAAAGCTCTCTAAATGATTTCTTAATAACGTTTTCCCTATATAAGAGAATAATAATATAATACGTTTAGAGAATAATTGCGTTCAGAAAGTATGGAACATTTTTGCTTACTCACTGGATGTCCAGCCAGCACAGTGGAAGAGTCATTGTGCTGCCCATCGATCGTCGCAATATTTAAGTCTGCTGCAACTGTAAATCTTGCCAGTTGGTTGTGAGGTGCCGTCTACGCTTTTTGATGGCCATACACTTAACAAAACCTGTAGAAATTTAGTGTCTAGGGTGTGAAGTGCGCGGTAACAAATTAAGAAATTAAAGTTCTGTCCAGAAATGTTCAATTTCAAAACGGCCGATCTAAAATGCCCGACCTCATTTGTCAAATTGCACACTTGAGCTCTTTCGATCATTCAAATTGGAGATTTACCCTCATCCCCCACCCTACAGTCCGTGATAAGGCCTCAAGTGACTCACCTTGTTTTGTGCACAAAAATTAAGACTTGGTTTGCAGCACAGCGCTATAATTACGACAAGGACCTCTAATTTTGTGTCACTAAGGGGCTGAGCTTGTAGGCGGCAGAATCAGTGGCGTAACAGAAGGGCTCGCAGTGCCCGCAATGCGGGGGGTTCCGTGAAACGATGAGCAGGATATGGCGAGCGAAAACCGGCGGGCAAGGATGCCCAAGAGACGAGATGAGTGGGGCCGAAATATTGGAGTTTATTCTTATTGAAATGTATTATCAATCATTCAATAACTGTATTGAACAAGTAATAACAATGTGATTTAATAATATGTTGTCGTCATTTAATTTGTTAGGCCTATTCAGTGATAACGAACTAAGGTAACAAATTTAACATTTTATAACGTGGGTCATTGATTATTATGCAACCACATTGATTTTACTTATCTGTGCTTTCATACACTGCTTATGCCTGCAAACATTTTGAAACATTAAGTTACCTGGGGCCGGGAGTCATGAACATTGATTGGAACTTTTAATATTGTATTATTTTACATTTTAGTTTTGCCTTAATATTAATTGTATTTAGTTAAAATACAATATATTGCTACTCTACTGACTTTGTTTGTTAGCCTATATCTTATTTTACATCACCACAATTAATCAACTAAAGACATGTTTGTAAGGTCTAGGTCAACGCTTGAAATTCATACGAAGACAAAATACAAAAATTAAATAGGCTATTTTAGCCTGTGATAATTGTATGTAAATCTTTTATACTAACAAACTTTTAGTGTATGAGTTAAGTATAACCATTGATGAAAACTAACCAAATGAATAATTGATAACATAATCAATCAATTAAAATAACTTAACGTATTGCACATTGTGTACAGAATGGAGTCAGTTATAAAAACACAATATTAAACCTAAGACTACTTACAGAGAATATTGTTATTATCAACAAATCAAATTTCAGGAAGTTTATTTAACACCACTATAAGATGGGATTTTTTTTGTAAACCGATAAATTATGTTTGGTGAACACCAATTCATTACCTTTTATGGGTGAATACTTATGAAAAGAGTTCAATTTTGGCAATCTTTCATGGTTTGATTTAATATAAAGAGCTATTTATTAAATGTATAAGCTAAAAACAGTCATAATTCCTATTTCTTTAACTATGAAATCTCCTTGATATGAAACATTCTGATCCATACGGATTGGATTTTAAAATAAGGTATTTTAATTTTATTTCAAAACTATTTACAAATACTGATACGGATATAACTATGAAGTGATGTAACTTTATCATCAAACCATGACTAAAATACCAATGTAAATTATTCTAGAGGTTAAATACCTTATTGTTGCCACTGTAATCCCCTGTCGTCTGGATGGCGACCGGTTTCGGCACTCATGGTGTCATTGTCAAGCCGTAGAGAAGTGTTGTCACCTATATATTTTCAAGACTTTATGACGACCTCCTAGGAGTGATAACACGTCTCTACGGCTTGACAATGACACCATGAGTGTCGAAACCGGTCGCCATCCAGACGACAGGGGATTACAGTGGCAACAATAAGGTACCTAACCTCTAGAATAATATTGTTAAGTAATCCGGAAAGCAACACCTAAACAAAAACAAAAAAAAAAAAAACAATGTAAATTCTTAACACGCTTTTATGGAACATTAACCATAATTTATTTACTATTACAGTTTTTATGATGAATCTTTTTAATTATGTTGTATCGGTGGTCTAAAAATAACTCATGAGAGGGGACCCAAAAAATAAGTTTGCAGGGGGGCCCGAAAAAATCTGTTACGCCACTAGGCAGAATTCTACGACATAGATTTTTGCGAGTCACATGGGAATTGCGGGCCTAGGCATGGTAAGACCTAGACCAGAGACCAATTTATTTAGATATCAATGACGTTTATTATGACCGTTTTATGAGGTGGGAGGAGGCATATATGTGTTTTGTCTTCTGATATGTTGCCACTTGGCAGTACTGTAGTAGTGCAGTTCAGCATATGATCAATTACTGTAGGCCAACCTACTAAACAATAATCGGATTTTAGGTACAGTTATGTAATGTATGTAATTTAATATTTGGTACAATTTAGAATTTTTTGGTTAAGAGATTAGATAGAGCCAGATTACGGGCAGGCGCGGATTCAGGGGTTGGCCCACCTGGCCCGGGCCCCCCTTTGGCAAAAAAAAAACAAAAAAAAAATGAGTTATAATTTATATGACATTTTGATAGTTCTTAAATACACACAAGCATACGTGTTTGACAAATCTTACTGCACAACATCAAAAAGTTATCCGAATACGCTATGACTACTGCAGTACTGCACATAGTATAGTGGGCGGTTTCTATGCTTTGCGGAATGGAAAACGGAGAGTTGGCCGCGCTGTAAAGGAGACTTGAGTGTCGCTAGCTGGCACCTGTTGGCTCGGCTGTCCGGCGTCCGCTGTCATTCTAACCTAAACTCTATAACAAAAGCTTTATGACTACCAATAATTCTTATTTAGAATTTATTCTTTTTGTTTGATTACTATTACGATAGTATGTTTAGAAAATGAAAATTAAAATAAAAGATATATCTCTCTCAAATTTAAATTAATGTGTTACCGGTATTTTCAATGAAACTTATAGGAATTTCTTATAATTTTATAGAACACTAAATGGTGAGATTAGTAAATATATGTATAGGCCTCTACAGTGCTTTTAAATATCTTTGACACATGTATACTGTTGAAACTGAAAAGTTCATAGGTTGTTTAATAAATTTAATAAAATCATGGTAATTTAATAATGACTCTTTAGTTCTCCTTTGTACGATATATTAATGTTCTTACTAAAAACATTGAGGGTTCTACTTTAGAGCCTTAAAAACTTTATTTTTTTTTACTTGATCTATTTCTATATGTAATCTACGAAGCCAAATTTTGTTTGATCAATACTTTGTAAGTTCTCTAAAAAGATAGTAAAAATGTGAGAGTAGTGATTTTATAACCCATTCTTTTAAGATCTCATGAGACCTAAAAAGTGGTATAAAATGGTGTTTTTGAGCACTAAAATTCAGAAAAACTTCCGGGAGAGGAAATTTCGAGTACTGGGGGGTATGGGGTATGGAAAACCCCCCGGTGGGTCGCCTCCCCCCTTACATGTTTAAAAATATTTGAGTCAATATACAATTAGGCAAATTGAAAGTCTCTTTAGTCTGCAGGCTTCTTGCGGCAGGGATATTAAATATCTTGATTGAAGTAAAGTCTCATACACCTAAATCAAACTATTGCATCATCAAGTGTTAATTTTGTAATAATTTTCCGTTTGTCGCTAAATAATAGGCCTAGTGCTGAAATGGCTGTACAATATGACAACGTAATAAATGACAACGTTTCTAGATGTTTGGATTACTTTACTCTCAGGAGGGAAGTTACATTGTCATCTGAACATAACAAGCCTGGTTTTTACTGCTTGAAGCAGGTGCTAAAAACAAAAACATCCAACACAAAGTCAGGTTTAAACATTCATATTATTCCTAACTTTTATGTTTCGAGTATTCATATGATATTTCTTGAAACCTTGTTAGGCTTTTAAATAACCATTTAAACCTTTTTTTATTTTCTTGATGAAGTTTTACTAACACTACTTGGAGTAGATAGTAACTTATTAGTTCTAAATAACTGCACTTTTATTATTACTTTGTGATTTACATGATTTGTGGTGTGCTTGCCAATGATTATGTTTCTTAAATAGGACTTTAATCAATGGTGATGAAGAGGCTGGATTCTCTGTATTTTGGGCAGACGAGGGACTAGATACAGGTCCGTTGCTTCTTCAGCAAAAGTGCAAAGTTGAACGCAACGACACTGTGGATTCCTTGTACAGCCGTTTCCTTTACCCAGCTGGTATTCAAGCTATGGCAAGTTTGTTTGTCACTGAAATTCACCTAACATCTTATGCTCTGTGTAAAAAGAGGATGTTTATATTTTGACAATTAATTACAATTAATTGAACAATTAATTAAAAGGACCTTTAGTTGAAAGAAGCTACTGTACTGAATATCAAGTATATATTATGTATTATGAAACCAAACACAGATAATGTCATGTCACTACACGATAGCTATCAGTTAATTAGAACAATTCGCTAAGAAACAACTAATTAGCCATTTAAGTTATATTAAGCAGAAAAATCACTTTTTTGCGAAATTCCCTATAGGGAAGTAGCTATTACCGTAGATGGTACGGTAGGACCTGGAGCCGGGACCGATATACTTTTTCATTCTGATGTCCCTAGAGGCCAAAACACTATTCGTTTCAATTTTTATATATGTTAAACCTATCAGAACGTAGGTTTTTGCCGCGAGAGTGGCTGCCGGAAACGATCTTGGCCTGACCATATAATAGTGGATCTGTTTTTTATTTTAGATTCATACAAGCTGCTTACTATACCCGTGCTTCGCAACGGGTATAGTATGAATAAAAGATGTGTAACTATTTTGTACAGCGATCAATAAGTATTATTCGTCTTGTTCTCTTCCTGTTGCAAAACATGGGTATAGCAAGCAGCTCGTATAAATCTAGAATAAAAATCAGATATACTAAACTATGGTCAGGCCAAGATCGTTTCCGGCTGTTGTTGTAAAGTTTGCTTGTTTATAGAAATATTTTGATCAAACTTGGAAAATTTATTTATTTTATACTAAGCTAATAATATTTTACTAAAAAACACACTTTATTAGCCTCCCTGTAGCAGGAAACCTAATTACTCTTTAAACCTAAAGTTATTTAAATAGATTTAATTTAAAATCAATTCAGGCAATGGGAATTCGCTTATTCTGCAGGTTTTGCTGTGGCAGGGGTTTTTCTTATCAGTATTTACCAGTATTGCTAACCAGATAATTTCTTGAAATTAAACCCTCTTAGTATAATAGTAACTAAAGCACTGAAGAATATAGGCCTATTGTTTTGTGATGCACTAATGAAAGAAAACAGTTTTGTTAGTGACATTCACAAAACTTGAAAAGTAAAAAGTCAAGTAAAAATACAACATAATTTAAATAACAAGCAAACCCAATGGGTTCTTAATTTAGTAAACAATGTGTAACGCTAGGCCTATTTCAAGTTATTGTCATCATAGGCTGATGCAGTGGACATGGTGGCTAATGGAACAGCTCCAAAAATAGATCAACCCACAGAAGGTGCTTCATTTGAGCCCTCAGTACGCAAGAAGGACCTTCAAAAGGTAAATACAAAAGTATTCTAAATATTGAATTATCTAAAATAAAAGAAGTTAAATGTTATTAGATCATCACATACCTATTGTCTTCTAAAATCCATAATTCATAAATAACGTTAAGAAGTTTTGGCGCATTCCATCAAATCTCCAAACCATCAAACCATCCAAATCATCTCCATTCTCAAATTTGATCTAGTCGTCAAAAACATATGCTGCCATAAATAACTTTGAAATATACTGAACGCTGATTTTTTCACATAAAAACATTAAATTATTTGTCGTGATTCACTTGGTCGGCCAAACAAAACAAGCCAAGATGCCGAATCAAATACAATCTTCCTATTTATAATCCTAAATAATTGGGCCTATACTGCAAATACAGTAATAACACGGGTCGCCGGAATGGTCGCCCCCGGAAACATCACCCCCCAGGCTAAACGTGACGTCACGAAACCAGACAACCAGCTGGTATAAAATCTATGTCCGCGACCGGAATCATACCCCCCCAAGGGCTCGACAAGTAATTTATCAAAGTCTAGTTGATACGAACTAATTATGTTATTAATTTTAATTCAAACAAGTACCAACGGAAAGGTCTACCCCGGCAAGGCATCCCCGATGTACACCCCGGAATCGTCCCCCCCTGAAACGCTACCCCTAGCAGGGCTGGGCTGCTCGGCAGCCTACCTGCTGCCCGTCCTCCCCAGCCCATTGTTCTGAGGGTCGGCCGCTCGTTCATTATTATTGTCGCTTGGACAACAGCATTTTTGCAGAAGAAAATTGCAGACCCTGTGGTGGAATATCAATCAGTAGATTTAGTTGTGTATGAACTTCTAAGACAACTACGAGCAAAGATTGACTTTAAAAAGATTCTTTTAGACTTAATTCATAAAAAAACTACCAACGATAATGCGTAAAGTATACATTTTTTCTGTTGCATTAAATAGTAGTTATACTTATCAACATCAGTAAACTTACCTTACACCCTAAGTAAGGTAATTGTTAAGCAACACATTTGTTAAAAATAGAATAGTTGCTAAATGTATTAAAAATGAATCGCATTGCTTTAGGTTTGGCCCCAATTTAATTAATAATTTGAAAATTAGAAACCGATTATTAAATAAGAATAAACATAATAATATCTATTAGGGGATTAATCCCCCAAATTCAACGAAATAATTAATTGTTAGTAATTGCAAATATGTAAATGATACTATTCTAAAGGTTATGCCAAAAAGTACCTTAATTCAGAAACAGCCTAGGCTAGATTCATATCACTGGAATAGAGTCAAAATATGATGAAAGTAAATCGAGAAGAGGACTTGCAATCAGTGTTGATATACCAATAAATTAGTTTTGTTATAAGATGTATATGTTTAGAAAACCTTTTTGCTACTGAAGTTTGCAAAATTATGTTTCATAATTACTAAGGGGAATATATACGTGAGTTAAAATTTTTAATAGGTATGTAATCAAAATGTTAAATGATGAGCTGTAAACTTGTATTACATCGTTTAAACAATAATAACCTTCGTATATACTCCAATTGTGTTGAAATAAATATAATTTTCAAAGGAAGGGAATGTCAATGCCATGATTTCATTTTTCTTTTAAGTTTAATTTTTTTAGTCTAGCAGCCGACGCTAATAATTTAAAGTCGTTTTAGTGTTGATGTAACTAACAGCTGTTCAAACTGTCATTGACGTTTTTATGTTACAGTTACTATCATCGGTGTTTGCCCGCATACTGTTTCAATTTTAAATGTTGTTTTTTCCTACCGTAATGGATCTTCGTATTCAGGAAATCTGTAGATTTGAACTATACATCTCTAAAACTTCTACCCTTGGGTAAAATCAAGATTTGTCTGAAATCAAATCTGTGTAAGTAGGCCTATAAGTTTATGCCATGAAAGTTATGTCATTTTTGTGGAATGTGTGTAGTCTATATCGATATACAAAAATTTTAAGGATTATAAAAATGTGAAACGTTGTAGCAGAAAACACTTCGGAAAATCCCTACCAAATTTTGAGCTGAGTTTATTGTTAGTGCAACTTCAGAGTATACTTTTTACGAATTACATTAACACAAGTGTACCTGTTGCTTGAATTCGAGCAATTGCGAAGCATTACGGGCGTTATTTTAAAAACGAATAAGAGTCATAATTTCCGATGACTTTATAAGAGTCGACTCAAAGATTATGGAAGTACTCAAGATGTAGACAGCAGTTAGATATAATCAAAATTTTTTGTAAATATCTTATCTTTTTTCAAAAGCTGACCTTGTTTTTTAGTGTTTTTTACAAATTTTCCCCACTCATAGCCGCATTAGGTTGTCTATAATCTTACTAATATTATAAATGTGAAAGTTTTTGTGTTTGTTTGCTTGTTTGAAGTTCAATCACGCATAAACTACTGGACGGATTGGGCTGAAATTTGGCATGATGATAGCTCACATTCCCGATTAACATATAGGCATATTCTTATCTTAAAAATCCTTTCGGGCTATGCCCCAGTGACTCTGTTGTTCACCATGTTAACCTTATGAGTATCTATATATTAATTTGGAACTGTTTTTCTTTGTGACAGCTATTTTGAGAGAACGGCTGGGCGTAGAAACTCGGTAGAGGTGTCTAAAGAAAGGTCCCGGTCTGTAGATGAGCCATCAAAAGAGAAACATGGAGAATTCCCTCGGGGCTCTGCCCCAATGGCCTTTAAATTCCCATCCCATGTTATACTTATGGAGGAAAACGAGGTTTTTGTCACAGCTAATTTGAGAGAACGGCTGGGCGTAGAAACTTGGTAGGGGTGTCTAAAGAAAGGTATTGGTCTGTAGGTGAGCCCTCAAAAGATAAACGAGGTAAATTTCCTTGGGGCTCTGCCCCAGAGGCCTTTAAAGTTCACTCTGCAATTTTGTTTACATTTCGACCATATGGATAATTTTACACTACTTTTAATGAACCAGCTGTTAATTTTAAAATTGTATTCAAAGGTCTACTGAAACTGTCAAAATTAAATGTTTACATTATTATTTATGATTTTAAATGGATTCTCCACTGCATGGCAAGTTTTTTTTAGTTTCAACTAAATGGTGAATTTATGATACGGTTTAAATGTTTTGTTCAAAAATTTATGCTTTTTTCCTCTTAGAAATTTTTAAATTATAAAATAAGTGTGACATATCAATTTCAAAGTAACATTTAACTATTCCTTATCGGGTTAGCTTATAATTTACCTCATTTCTTTTGAGGGCTCACCTACAGACTAATACGTTTCTTTAGAGACCCCTACCAAGTTTCTACGCCCAGCCATTCTCTGAAATTAACTGTGACAAAAACCCGTTTTCCCCCCATAAGAATAACATAGGATGGGAATTTAAAGGCCTCTGGGGCAGAGCCCCCAAGGAAATTTACCATTACCAAGGGAGGTATACCTGAAGTGGGGAAGTCTAAACTATTTTACAAAAAATACTTCCTGCTATAAATACAGTTGTACTCTACGAATTAATAGTCTGCAAATTACAGACGAATTCCATAAATCAATACTCTGAGAATAGTGGATACCATACTTAGGATTATGATCTCTTGCAAACTTTTAAGTTATACGTATTAATATTCTGCGAACTACAGGTGTAACTTTCAAAACAATGGGTGACCGTTCATGGAATAACTGTACTACTTCAATGTCAATTTAGTTATTTAATATCAGCAATGTGAAATCATGAAAAAAGTGAATGTGACACTGTTGCTTGCTTCTCTGTCAACGCAAACGTAAACAGTGTGAGCTTTTCCCTGTTTATTGCCGAAGAAACTAACCAATATTTACTTTCTAAATTCTTTTTACGGGAAAGAGTCCTTTACCAATATCAAATCAGGAATATTCTCAATACATTTATTTTACCATAAAATCCAGACAATTATTTAAATGTATATCATATACTGCATTTATTGATCAATGTTTACAATTTAAGAACTAGGAAATGTGAAAATATGTTTGTCAAGTGTGTACTGTATTATGTTGAGTGTAATGTTGAGTGGTTGAAGCATGCTCATATTAATACGAGTTGATTCCTTACTTAATTTGTACTATTACTATAAATATTTTATTTCATTTCCACGTGTTTCAAATACATTTTATACGTTGACGGAAAAAACTATTTGTAATTTATACATCATTTAATGTATAGAGTTAAGGGGGAATGTCTAGAGAAAGCATAATATCAAAGTGTTAATTTGTATTTATCTTAATATCCACAACATTTGCGTAATAATACCAAATCCTTCCCATTCTTTCGAGTTCAGTCGAGCGGTGGTAATATGGGACAGTCTCTACCCTTGTGAACAATAGCTGGCTCGAGTCACGAGCCCAAGCCCTACAGCAGGTATACCGGGGGTGATCATGGCAGGGGGGGACCTTTCCGGGGTGTGCATTTTGAAAACGATCGGGGTAAGCGTATCCGGTTAACATCAATTGTAATTAGAAAATCTGGTAATTGTATATGATAAGTGAATATAATTATCTAATTAATACGCAAACTCAAAAATAACTCATCATATCGACGAGTTCATGCTGCAACTGAAATTGAGTGTCCGCGGCCGGAAACATCACCCCCCGGTCTCTGACGTCATTATGACGTAGGGGGGTGATGTTTCCGGGGGCGACCTTTCCGCGTCCCCAATAACACTACCAAATAAATGCTGTCTAAAATCATCCATGGACAATCAAACAAGCAAAACAGCCTACAATTGTTGCATACTCATATCGTGCACAATTTCAATTTCTTTATTCATTGAGAAGTATACATAATACATACAGAATTTGAACAGTGTCACAGATTACAATTATTAGATTACAATAAGATTACAACAGATTACAATTATTAAAAAATAAAATACAAATAAAAAAATACAACTCCCTATAGAGATGGGAAAATATTTTATATTTTCTTAATGTCTAGTACTCTTGAGGGAGGTGGAAAAATTCTTCTAGAGAATAAATTAGGCCTACCATGTTTGTTAAGACATTTTTTAGTTTTGTTTTGAACTTTTTGGTATCTTTTTTCATTTTCAATTCCTCTAGGGATATGTTAACAAAAATTTACCAGAAAATGATGGGTTTTTTCATAAAACTTTAATCTGTGTCTATTTTGCAAAAACAGATTTTTTTCCTCGTTTCATTTTGGTGAACACCCGTTCATGTTTATGGGCAATAAATTTTTGATTATTTTTTTTTTATAAAACCTCATCCGATGTATCCAATCAAAATAAAAAAAAATATATTGCCCATAAACAGTTAGTATGTTTAGCTGTTTAAAGTGCTCTTTTGCCGAGACATCAGAATTTAGTCTGAGCATTACTCTCACTGCTCTTTTTTGATGTTTTAATATTTTATCAAGATTGATTTTGGTTGTTGCTCCAAATAGACAGATACCAAAGGAAATATTTGAATGAATATATGCCAAGTATAAAGGTTTTTCAAAGTTTTGACATCACAGTACACAGACATTTTTGAAAAGGTGAAAGTTCCAGAGTTGATTTTTGAATCTATATTATTTATGTGCTCACTCCCAGTTGAAACAAGTTGAAAATGCTAGCAAATCGACTCCAACCCCAAACTTTAATGGGAATATGCCTACCACTATAGACGAAAGTGATCGTTGCACATCCGAATCAAATTTTATGGACAATGAAAATGTTAATATTGAAGTATTAAATCTTTCTAGTATTGAAAAAATATCTAATGGATCCAATGATATTGAAACATATGCACAAATTGCAGCCCTAAATAAGACTTATAATCAAGATACCAAGGCTCTTAGTAGGCCTAAGCCCTTGGCAAGTTAGATAATGCCCCTGGAAAAGATAATTTTGTTTTTAAACTGGCAATATTGAAGAAAAAAAAATACAACAAAATTAAGACCTGACAAAGTCTTTCAAATATTCAGGCTGGCGATGTGTTCTGTTGGACCTGCGCAGCACTGGACTTTCATTTCCTGTCTCATGTTGAGGTTGTTCATTGATTCGTGGCGGTTGTTGTTCAGTAGGGATGGTGATGAGATCGTCAAATGGATGATGTGGTCTTGGTTCTTCCGAAGTGGCTTCTTGAACTGTGGGAGCAAATTTGACAGTCTTTGTTGGCATTTCAGTGAGTTGTATGTAGTTGGTCGATGTGTCTTTTAAACACATATCCACTGTCGAGTCTAATTAGATAGTGTAAGAGTCCATACTTATTAATAATGGTTCCTGGTTTCCATAGATTTTTGTTGGACCGTGCTTGGACTCTGTCTCGTACTTTGTACTGTCTTGCTTTGGTGTGTCGAATTGAGGATTTTAGATGTTTTGGTGGTTTTAACGCATCAAGTTTGATTCTAATTTGTCTGTTGAGAAAAAGTTCTGAAGGTGTCTTCCCGCTGGCCAAGGGTGTATCTGAAGAGTAAAAGTTCTGAAGAGTTTTCCCGCTGTGCTCGATATCTGAAGAGTATTTTCCTAACCTTTTGTTTCATTGTGAAAGGTTCTTCAATCATGGTAAAAAGTCAATTTTTGAGGGTCTGGATGTTTCTTTCAGCCAACCCAATGGTCGCTGGATGTCCCGGTGCTATGAATTTCTGAAAAATTCCTCCTTCTTTGCAGAACTGGTGAAATAAGTCGCTAGTGAAAATCGCAGCGTTGTCCGATACCATTACGTCTGGGAAGCCGTAGCGTGAGAATACATTCTGAACCATCTCTATGGTTGATGATGAAGTTGGAGCAGATGAACATACTTCTACTTCAGCCCATTTAGACTTGGCATCCACAATGACTAGGAAGTGGTGGTTCTGGAAGGGACCAGCATAGTCAATGTGTACTCTCTTCCAGTTACCTTCAGGTTCCTCCCAAGGGTGTAAGGGAGCTTTGGGTGGACTATGTCTGGTAGAAGCACATGCTCGACATGCTCGTACAACTCTTTCGATGTCTTTGTCGATGGATCTCAAATACACATAACAGCGGGCAAGCTGTTTGATCTTTGTCGATCCGATGTGTGGTGAAGTTCTTGAAGGACGGAGTCTTGAAGACTTACTGGTATGACAACTCGAGAACTGCGGAAGATGATGTCATCAGAAATGGTAAATTCTGAGTCTTCTGATTGATTTTGACACAGTTCTTTCAGTCATTTTGACAAATTTGAATCATTTCTGGTTTCCTCTTGGATTTTTTCATGTGTAAGATTAAGTGTTAAAATTACTTCAATTGACGATTCACATATTTGATTTACTTCTGTGTTGATTGATCTTTCTGCGTGTGATGGTGATTCGATTGGTGCTCTTGATAGACAGTCTACATTACAGTTGTCTGTGCCTTTCTTGTAGATTACTTCGTAGTTGTAGCCTGACAAAAATGCATTGTATCTCTGCAGTATTGCTGAAGTCATTTGAGGTATCTTCGCGTTCTGATGAATGATTCTTACAAGGGGTCGATTGTCAGTTATTAGCTTGAAGGGTCTTGCAAACGGGTATTGATGAAAATGTCCCACACTGAAGAGCCAAAGCTTCACGGTCTAGTTGTGAGTACTTTTGCTCAGCTTTTGTCAGAGATCTCGACCCGAAAGCAATAGGACGTTCAACTCCTGAAGGGTCGATGTGAGAGAGTATTTTTGCAACCCCTTGAGGACTGGCATCACAGGCAAGTTGTACAGGTAAAGCTGTATCAAATGGGTTAAAACTCGTTCACTGGCAATTCCTTTCTTAAGTCGATCAAAAGCTTCAGTGCATTTTCTGTTCCAGTAGAACTTAGTATTTTTTACTAGAAGTTGGCGCAGTGACGGTTGAGAGATTGGGGAATGAACCGTGAATAGTATGTTACCATTCCCAAGAATCTTCTAACTTCTTCGATGGATGTGGGCTGTTTCATTTTGATAATAGCGTTAATCTTCTCTGGTGATTTTAGAATCCTGTTGTGTTCAACAACATAACCTAGGAATTTGTTGCGTTGTTTAAAGAATGAACACTTTTGCTGATTGAGGTGAAGGTCATATTTCTGAAGTTGTTTGAGGCAAGCGTACAAGTTGGATCTGCATTCTTCCATTGTTGATCCATGTACTATGATGTCATCAAAGTAAAGTTCAGTCTTGGGGATGTCTCGAAGCATTTGATGGATGATGCAGTTGAACTCTGCAGGGGCTGTTTTTATGCCGAAAGATAGTCGATTCATTCTGTACGTTCCTCGATGGGTTGTTATAGTTTGTATTTCACTGGATTGATCATCAACTAAGATATGCATTGTATAAACCTACAAAAATAGTTTGACTTAAATTTGTTTCAGATTGATCAGTATCACCATTTGGCTTTACGTTAGAACGTTGTGTTGAAAGTTGACTTACCAATGTTATTATCACAGCTTGTTGCATTTCCAAGAATTGCTTGAATTGTTCTGGATCCATGTTGATAAGATTATAGTTGAAATGTTTCTAATTGGTAATTGAAAATGCAGCTAAATGAAAAAATTGCTGATAGTCCTGGCCTTGATTGCTTACAGGTAATGTTCATACAGTAAAAATCACTCTCTTGAGGTTTACTCGTCGCCAATCAAATTGTCGTATCCTTGTGTGTGTAGGCGTATTTTGTTGAGTTTGATAATTGAAAAAGGTTGCTTCATTTGAAAAGATTTATTTTTCAATACATAATTGATAGGTAAAAAATTTGTCATGTTGTTGATGACTTTATTTAACACTAATTATTAATAATAAGTAATTACTGAATTAAGTTATCTAGTTTTTATTTGTTTGTATTATATTACATTGATTTATATGTATCAAGGAATTGTAATTTGATTAACTGAACAATAATTAATTTATTTATGTAAGTTAGTATTTATGTAGTCTTGGACAGGGTGGCGCCCGAGATTCCTTATGCCACTGCACTCACAACGTCGAAATAAATAACTATTTTATAGTTATTGTCCATTGATATATAGGCATTATCATTATTGTAGAACTGATATCCTGAATTAGAAAAAATGAGTACATTTTGATTGATGTCTGATCAGGTAGACTGGAACAGCGGAGGCCTAGAAATCCACAACTTTATACGAGGGCTTGATAGTTCTCCTGGAGCTTGGGCTGTTATGAATAATGAAGAAGTTAAGCTTTTTGCATCGGGTTTGTGGGAAAGTGCTAAACCAGATGGACAGTGTGTACAGATAGATGGTATGGACACTCCTGGTTTAGTTCACGCTGGTGGACTTCTACTTGTTGGAAGTGATGGAAAAATGGTAAGTATGAGTATCCATTTCTTTAATTGCATGAGAGTGGAATCTTTATTGTGACAATTAATAATAACCAATATACTGTACAGTATGTCTAGATTTGCTTCATGAAAGAAAGATTAATTTTATCATCTGCAAGTTTAATTATTTGCATCATATGGGTTAAAATTTAGTTTCTTGTAGCCTTGGTATATAGAGCAAGATTTGGTATATTCAGCAGTCTCAACTATCCAACCTTAATGTGGCTGCAGCCAGGTCTGATGGCATGGAAAATAAGAAAAAAAAACATTAATATTATTAAAATATATATTTGTATTACATTATAAAATAATATATAAAATCTTATAAAGTTAGTGCATTCCATTTAATACAGTGGAGTTTTTTGTGTTTGTGTTGTCGGGGTTGCTCATCTGGACTAAATGTGGGGGGGGGGGACGTTCGGTCCGGATTACAAAAAAATCCAGAATATTGAGAGTCAAGTAAATACAGTACTTTATAAAGCTGTTTTTTTTTTCAATTTTGTTCCACATCCACAGTATTGATAGCCAAGCAAATTCAGTTCCACCGGTAATAATTTTTACCACCGTGTTATTCAAGTTTTTGATTATCCGAGGTAGGTAGTCTCGGTGCCGTTTATCTCAGATAATCAGACTTCTATTGTACTGTACCGCAAAAAAAATCACGATTGCCGATCCGGACTAGCGAGAGTCCAGACAAGGCCGATCCGTATGAGCAAGAGTCAGCTGTTGGGCATTTCCTGATCACCAAATCCCATAGTTTTTTTAGAAGTACAAAGAGTATTCTGTTTGGAATACTGTTTGGACTGAGACAAAGATGTCAGGGGTATCAGAGAGGTATACAGGTATGGGGAGAGTTAATGAACAATGGTAATGATTACACTGCAGCCGCCTGAAGCCTGGTGCGCATCTTGTAGGCTGTTGGGGTGACATAAGGAGTCTCAAAACACAGTATCACATAACTCAACTATCCAGAAGGAGGGTCTGATAATACGGAAGATAAGCGAAGGTCGGATAATTGAGACTACTGTACCATTCAAAACATGTAAAAAATATTGGTAAATTAAGAATGAATATAGATAAATATACAATGCATTGACAATAAGGGACCAAAAGCTCATTGCCAGAGTTGTATGTGGGGTCATATCACAATAAGTCTATAATGTCATGATCCTGACTCAAAACATTAAAAGGGTCTTATTTTAAAATCTTTTTTGAGTGTTAATTAACAATGTATCACAAAAGCTTGCAATTGCACCTTTGATTGATGCATGTATATTTCATTAATGCTAGTACATTTGATTGATAGAGAATAGAATACAGCTATGACATAAAAGTAATACACACATGATATGCATGCCAGGTAGTCTTGAAATAACTAATCTTATAAGGAATAAAGGAATCAATGATATAAGCTTCACTTTATTATATAAATTAAACTTGAGCTCAGTAGATTAGCAATACATTTTCATACATTTCAATCCCAAGCATTCCTTTTCCTTGGATCTGCATAATTATAATTTTAAAGGCAATTAATGAAACATAATTATAATTAACAAATTATAGTAATTTAGTTTAAACCCTTTTTTTCCATAAGTTTAATACAGTTTTTGTTAGGTGAACGTGGAGAGATTATCCGTGAAAGGTAGGATGATCCCTGCATCACAGTTTGGGAAACAGAAGAGTGAGGGCGATGCTTTAAAATTAACAGATAAAGAACAAGAAATGGCTCAGGCTTTAAATGAGATATGGGCAAGCATTTTGAGCTTAGAGGTAAATGCCAGCACTGATTTTTTTGCATCTGGTGCCGGTTCAATGGATGTAGTTAGGTGAGATTATATCTGTATTTGTCTATTTTATACTGATTTATAAACTTGGCAATCTATTGCTAGTGTGGGTATATTCCTGTTACATAGCCCATTAAAAAAAAAAATCAAAATTTAACTCAAAACACATTAATTAGAATTAATGGAATATGTGTGATTATTCAACATTTTTTTCAATGTGTTTATTTTGGCAACCCAATACAGCTTTACAGTAGACTCCCTCTCGTTTTGGCCACCTCAGGACCGAACCACCGGCCGAACTAAACGATGATATATAAAGAAGACTACTTTTAGACTACATTAACATCGATGTAAAGAGTGGAAGCAGGGAACCACTCCAGTTCTTGCTGACACAAAAATATCGTACCCTCCCGGATTTTATGGTATCCGCCTCTCTATATCTAAATAGAAGCAAATAGAAGCAGAGAACTGTTCTTGTTAGGGGTCTGCGGTGCACCGAAAAAGTCGGTACGGTACGGTACAAGCTTAATTACCGTCATCGGTTCGGTACAGCACTTTACACGGTACACAGTCCGGTTCGGTACAGCCTATTATAATAATAAATTACTTTCAGTTTACTATCGTAGTCAACGACAGTTGGTTCCGAGCACATAACAGTCTTATCAGATGTTTGTTTACGATCTTCATAATTTATTACTGGGGTGATGATGCAATAAAAAACCCATTAGCAGTCCCAAATCCATTAACATTTTATCACGACAATAACATTTCATCTCGACAATAATTGTTGTATTCAAGTACTTCCAAGAACTGTTGAGTTTTATCACTTTTATATCTTTACGACTTTTCCCAATTCTATTTTATCATAAAAATAATAGTTTTATGATGACTGTTAAATGTTATCTCTAACTCAGTCAGTATTTTCGTGAATATTCAATTTGCCGCTGGCATTGCCTACTGCCATAAAACTGTTAGGTGCTACATATTAAACTTGTAACCAATCTAATCTACAATCTTATTTATAAGTTAAAATATTTGTTATAAATATTTTATCTTTCTATTGAGAAACCACAAGCATATTTGTTGTTTGCATAAGAAGATGTGGCTGTTTAAGGATTAAATGTTTTTTAGTTTCCTAATTACGCGCTACCCATATAAAATAATGTAAATTTTTTTTTACTTTTTGATTTTTTAATGTTGTAATAATGTTTATAATCAAAAGTTGACACCCACTATGTGTGCCAGAATTTCAACCGTTTTGCCGTATCTCAAGCCGTTTTCGAGATATAAGCGTTTTTAGACAGTTTACGGACTTAGAAGATTTTTCATGGTAACTTTTATTTGTAGCCTACTCATATAAAATAATGTTATTTTTTTTTTTACTTTTGATTTTTTAATGTTGTAATATTGTTTATAATCAAAAGTTGACACCCACTATGTGTGCCAGAATTTCAACCGTTTTGCCGTATCTCAAGCCGTTTTCGAGATATAAGCGTTTTTAAACAGTTTTACGGACACTGCCCCAAGAGCCAAGTTCGCGGTCACGGGACTGGGGAATCCCCAGGTGGTGACGTCACCGGGGACGAGTCTATATATAGAAGTGGCATAGTAATGTCAATGTATTATAGTTAAAAATAATGGATTTAATACAGTTCTGAGAAGAAAACCGCAAAAATACGGGTAGCCGCGTACCGTACCGATTATGTACCGAGAACCGAGGTACAAAATATTGTATTGTACCGAACCGTACCGACCTTAAGTTTTCTGTACCGCAGACCCCTAGTTCTTGTTCATTATGGCACGAAATAGTCATGCTCTTTAAATTCTGTTTAAATTATTTCTGATTATTTAATATTTGCGGTTCTGTTATTTAAGAGAGATATGTTTTAATGTAGCTGTAAAATTTTATTTTCATTACAAATATTATCGTCTGATGTAAAATGGTGGACTCAATATCAATTTTTATTAATTTTTTTTTAACCAATTTAAATTATTGGAGATGCATGGAATCCTACAGTACCGCATTACGATCAATCGGGAACAAGGCAGTTAGTTTAATTCACTTTATACACATTAGACATTCAAAAAGAGTTCAGCTATGATAAATATTATCAATGAAAGTACAGTAATGCCAAACACTAAATTTGCATCTCGTGCTTATTATTTTCTTTCTCTAGTTTTACTTTTGTCTAGCCTAAATTATTATCCGTGAGCTCGAAGACAAAGCCGTATGATGCAATACCGATATCTCATTTAGTTGTTTATCGGCTGTTCATTCAATTGCTTTTACTTTACGATTCGCTTTATCTAGAACGAAAAGAAATAAAGCAGAAAAGAGCTACCGAGCCGGGGTTAAGTTAAGTGAAAGCATTGACTATTGGATACAGAAGAAGACATCCCATCTATATGGATCAGCTGTCGCAAATTTTTTACTAAAAAAGAATGTAGTTGTGTGAGCCAGTCACAGATTGTGCAAGGGTCTAAAACTCTATTTTGTACCTTATTTTTCGTTACTGACATAGTGTCTGGGTCACAATAGTTGCTATAGCTCATAATAAGTCATTCCATCAGTTTGACTTGGTAAAAACCATCAAGTAATCGGCAGAAATCAGTAATTTAAATCAGCGCAATCTGTAGGTGGCTCACATCAACTAAGACAAATTTTATTAAAAACCTGGCTACAACTTTAACATGGGGATGGAATGTCTATAGTTGTTGTATTAATAGTCAAAGGTGAAAGTCAATTCGTTTAAGTTGCCCACTATGAGCGCTATGCTACGACGCCATTACATACGTCACTTGTCAGCCATTATTTAAGTGCCACTGCAAGACAATAATACAACAATGCTACAACTTTTAAAAAGATCGACTGCCGTGCCAGGCACTTGAATCCACTTGTAATGTTTTCCTTTGCTTGTCTATTAGCTCTTCAACATGGGAATGTTGCTGGAAGTCAACAGTCCCGGAAGATCAAATAATTTATACCTGTGCCGCTAGGTCAAAAATTACAATGTTTGCAGTGTCTGTAGATCAAAAGTCCCAGTAAGTCAAATAATACAGTCCGAGCTAAAAACGTGGTCTATGTTAAAGCAATTGACTTATTGGGAATTTGACCTAATGCAACAGCAGTTTTAATATAACGAAATACGGTAAAATACAAGTTCAGTTTCGCTGAGTCAACAGTGCCGGAAGATCAAAAGCAATAAAAGTGAACGTCGATTCAGTGTAAAGTAGACCTCCTGCAACGCTTACTACACCAACAAAACTCGCTTTTAGTTACTTTGTGTTTTGTCATAATTAGAATAGAGCTAAAATTATCATATTTGGTACATAGCTTATCTATTAATGCTTCTTGCCAACTGTTTGGTCAACACTGTAAATAGGTATAGCCTTTCGTCAAAATTTGTGGCATAAAATACCCGCAAGGACGATCTGAAAATTTCTGGTTATTATATACGTTTGTAAAAGGAGGTCCATTTAATTGTAGAACTATTTTATGAGTTATAATGTAGTCTACATATAAACTGTGTAAATGTATTACGCCTCGGAAGGGTTGAAACCTGTCCAAACTATCATATATATATTATTAAAACGTAAATGGGGTTTTTTCATGATTCTGAATCAACCAGACGATGGATTTTCATTAGTTTTGTGTTGAAAGAAAGAAAATTTTGAGAACTAGGGAATTTCAAAGCTATAATTTAAAATTAGTGTCCCAGTTTTTTATAAATTAAGTTTTAGTTTTTAAAAAAAAAGTCTAGAAGCCGATGCTAACCTTCTCCAATAAGTCAATGCTTCTAGCTAGCTTTTAGTACAATATAATTAGCTTAACATAACAGCTGTAACATTCAGCATTTGTGACACAAATTCAGCATTTGGAAGAAAATTCAAATACATACGTACGTTGGATGGCTTATTTATACTATGTGTAATGCTAACCATTGATACATTTAATTCTTCGGTACGAGGATGGCAGATTAATGAAATATGCATAGTAAAATACAGTAGTAGGATGTTCAAATTATTTTTTAAAGTATTCTTTGTAATCATCGATTTGTTTTAGTCCAATATAATTTGTTTTAACTAACAGCTGGTTGAATGTGCTATGAATACTTATAAAAGGCAAAGCCCTCACTGACACACTCACTCTCACTCACTCATCGTCACTAATTCTCCCACTTCCCATTTACCTAGGAGGAGCTGAAATTCGATACACCGATTCTTTGGGCATTAAATAGGAAAACTGAGTAATTTTTATTATGATAGGGCATTCGAGCTTCGCCCCAGTGGCTCTAGGGTTTCCCATGTTAACCATATGATTTTTCATATTTAAAAGGAATTAATGAATCTTAACAGCTGTGTCAATTAAACAATTTATGACAACAGCTAATTTGCAACAAAAAGCTGAGTGAGCGTTTCGAACGAACTTCAACCTGGAGGCGAGTTAACCCCAAGGCAAGTGAGCTCAGCAAACGAGCTCCAACCTAAAGGTGAGTGAGCGTAGCGAACGAACTTCAACCAGGACGTGATTGAGCCATGCGAACGAGCTCATCTTGAAAATTAATTAGTTAAACGGGGCAAAGCCAGCGGGTACAGCTAGTTATTCTATAGAATTATTAGGTTTTTAGCGAATTTCGCATATAGGGAATAAGCTATTACCGTAGTACTCATGGCAACACCTGGACCCGGGACCGATGTAATTTTTCGTTTTGAGTCCCTAGAGGCCAAAAACACCATCCGTTCAAATTCATATATATGTAAGTGTATAAGACATTTTGGGGACGACTTTTTTGGGTCTCAAGAATTTATACGAAAATACAATATTGCAATATTTTGAGGACTTGAATTTCCGTATGTGTATAAGACATTCTAAGCACTTGACTTTTTCGGGACTCGAGAATTTAGTACTTTTCGAGGACCTGTGCAAATTATTCCATTCCAAATGCAGCGCGTTATCGATCTTCACCCTTGTGTGGGCCTCCCATTCACTGACGGAATGTCTCGTGGCGTATGACGACCGGATATAAATAGTCACTTTACAC